AAAAGAAAATCTACCCGCAAATAGTATCAAAATAAAAAATATTTCAGATACCAGACTATTAAAAAAAAAAAAAAAGCAAGGGAGAGAGTGGGGAAGAGGAGAAGGTGGGGAAGGGAAGGTGGGAGGAGCAAGGGAAAAAGGAAGGGAGGGACAGGAAAAGGAAGGGGAGGAAGGCAACCAAGTTTGCAAAGGGAGATCCTCTCAAGAGTTCCTAGTTCAAGCTCTAAAAGAGGAAAGATGGGTGTAAATTGCAGCTGACAGATGAGGAAACCAAGGTACAGGTCATCTCTGTGGCCTGCTAAAGGTCACTATAATGATTGGTGGAGAGCTAGGCGTAACTGTAAAGCATTAAGAGGTGAATGAAGCTTCATTCCACAGGACTACCTTTCACTTAGAGAGGGGGAGGGGATGGGTAGACCTATGGAAAATGCTCGGGAATGACATGAGCCACTGAGGCAGAAGGTAAAGACATGCCCCATTCCCCTCCCTCATGTCTTTAAAGCTGGTCTGTCCAACATGGTAGCCAATGGCCACATATGGTATATAAACTTTAATTAATTAAAATGAAATCAAAGCAAAAGTGTTCAAGGTGTTGTTGACAAACAGCCATATTTCAAGTGCCCGAGAGCCACATGTGATGGGCAGCTCCCAGGCAGGCAGGAGAGAACACTACAGTTGCTATACTGCATTCTTCTGCCAGAGCTGTCATCATCTGTCTCTATGACAAGGCTGAAGGTTCTGGACCAGGAATCCCAGAGCTTCCTTAAAGCAGTGCTGTGGACTCAGGCAAAATCTCTGGGCCTTAGTTTCCTCAATTGTGAAAAGAAGCTGGAGGATCCATGATGACAAAGGCCTCTTTCAGCTTTGTTACCCCACAATTCTGTCCCTAACACTACAGATGGCAGACTCTTGGCTCTACCTACTCCTCTTTGATAGAGCTTCCAGGCTGGCCCTTTATCAAATTAGTTCAACCAAACAATGCCCTTGAACTTCACTACCGACTGTAGAAACATAGTAGCTTAATCCAAATAAGCATAAAAATACTGCCATAAGTAGTCTTAAAACTATTCACCTTCATAGGACTGCTGGAGATAGTTTAGGCTGTCCTCAATGTCCCTCCTCTAAGAACCTAAGAGCTACATGATAAATCAGTTATCATTTAGGGTCAGGAGAAAAGTCTATTTCTCCAGAACAGAGTGTTTCCTTTTCCCACACAACGAAGATGACTTAGCTTCCTATGACCTTTAGGCATCAGATAATATTGAAGCATGGGAGACCCCATCTCCACACAACTGCAGTCCATAAGTGGTTCTCTTCCTGGGTTTTATCTCCACCCCAACAGTGCAAAGGTCACACATATCTAATACCTCTTGAAAGAGTTAAAACACGCACATTAGTTTAAAACAATAAATAGTTCAGTGATCTTCTTACTCTATTGTACAGGAGGAATACAAATATGATGTTCAGTGTAAATAAAAAAAGAAACTGAAATCACTAAGCAGAACAGAATTATCTATTGTGGAAGAAATCCCAAAAGGCTGGATTGTGGCACTTTCAGCATCTTTCTCTCTCCCCATCATTATTATTATTATTATTATTTGCCAGCCCTAGGGCTTGAACTCAGGGCCTGGGCAGTGTCCCTGAGCTGGTTCTGTTCAAGGCTAGTGCTCTACCACTTGAGCCACACTGTCACTTTTATTTTATTAGAGATGAGCATCTCATGGACTTTGCTGCCCAGGTTGGCTTTGAACCTCTGATCTCAGCATCCTGAGTAGCTAGGATTCTGAGGATGAGTCACAGGCTCCTTGCTCTCTCCTTTAACAGTGCCAACAATCAAATCAATTAAGCTTCAGTTAATTAAAATAACTACTGCAAGCATTTAGTAAGTGCATAGTCCCTCATGTCAGGTTGGGTGTCAGGCACAATCCTAATCACTGTACTGACTCACACTTCACAGTAGGCTCAGCGGAAAGATGCTGTATCTGGCCTCCTCTGTTTTCCAGGAGAGAATACTGAGGCTCTGTAGAGTTAAGTAAGTTGTACAAAGTCACACAGGCAGCAAGTAGCAGAGTTTTGATCTAAATCCTGTTGGTCAGGTTACTGCTCTGCTACTTACATGAGCCTTTGTAATGCTGACCAGGGACATTTTCAAAACACTGTTCAAAAAGAAATGCACTCATTACCTTACTTATGTAACTATAACTCCTCTGTACATCACCTTTACATAAAATCCAATTTTTAAATAAAGTAAACCACAAGCAAAGTAAGACAGATAGGTGCTAATAGTATGTATATGTGTACATGTGATACATGTTTTATATATCACATGTTGTACATACATATATATATATGTAATGTTATATATGTATATATATATATATATGTATACATACATATATAACTTTGCTTAGAAAAAAACTTCCAGATTTATCCCTAGTATCCTTCCAGATCTTAGCTCTTCCTACAGAAATTCTGGATTGCAACAACCCTTTAATGCTATCACTTCTCCAACGCTGACACTAAAAGTTCCTCAGCATTGTTTTCTTGTGAAATAACCAAAAAGGCTGACTTCAGTATAACACCCAACCAAAATCATATGAACAATGTGCATTGGTAACACTGACCCCACCTATCACAACTCTAACAGATATGAAGAAGCCAATGGAGCAGGATTGATAATCCAGCCCTTGTGGCACTGGTGAATCAATCTAAAAGTGCATGTGTATGAGGGAGGCTGACAGCTTTTAACCTGGCACTTTCTCTTCCTGGACTTTGTTCCTCCTTGATGAGGGTTCCCTAAGCCTCATGCTTTACATACAGATCATGACAATCTTCTGCGAACAATTTTTTAAAAAACCTTTTAAATGTGTTAGAAAAAGGACACGAATTGTAAGGTTTAGTCTGAGAGGGACAAGATGGGGTAATCAAATGGACACAGATTTGAACTGTGCTCTGCTTCCCATGACCTGGGCTGCTGTGGGCAAGTTACCAAACCTCTCTTAGTTATAGTTTATTCCTCTGTAAAATGAACTAAATTATATTGTATTAAAATGAACTAATTATACTGGTTAAGAATAGATAGACAAAAGAAGGGACTTTCTTCTCCTTCCCATAATCAATGCTTTAAAAAACTAACTTTCAAAACCAAGTTGCATTTGTGAGATTGCATCTTCCATTTTTATTCAGTTTGTGGCCATACAATTCCCAAGGGAATCCTAGCTGCAGATGCCCCTGCAAAGTGTTGCCACACCAAGCTGTCTAGTTCTCAGGGACAACTGGGCAATGCATGTATATTGGAAATTGAACCCAAACAATTTAATTTTGTTTTGTATGATACTGTGGTTTGAACTCAGGGATTTGTACTTGCTAGGCAGATGCTCTAGTGCCAGGGCCACAGCTCCAGCCCATTCTGCTCTGGTTAACTTTGAGATAAGGCCTCACTTTTTGCCTATGCTGGCCTGTATACTCCTATTTATACTTTCCACTCAAACTGGAAAAACAGGCATATTAACACCATGTCCAGTTTTTTCTGTTGAGATGGGTTTTGTGAACTTTTTTTTTTTAACATAGATAGTCCTAGAACTAAGATGTCCAAATCCTGAGTAGCTAGGTTTACAGCTATAAGTCACCCAGCACAAAATTTCTCTTTAAAAAAGTGAAAAGGCCTATATTTATATCAAACACCACAAAGCTACAACCTGTTTTTATGAATGTGAATGCTATAAGTTGCCCTCCACAGTTTTCTTTACTAAGTCACAGGTAAAAATAAAACATACAGCTTGACACAAATAAGATGTTGACAATGAAAGCCACAATTCAAAAGCCTTTAAAACGATTTATACAGGGTACTAATGGCTCGTACCTGTAATCCTAGCAACTCAAGAGGCTGAGATCTGAGGATCATGATTTGAAGTCAGCCAGGGCAGAAAAGTCCATGGGATTCTTATCTCCAAGTAGAGCTGTGGCTCCAGTCAGTGGTAGACTGCCAGACTTGTGTGGAAAAGCTAAGGAACAGTGCCCAGCCCCCCACATCATGCAAATTTTGGAGGTACAGTTCAAATGGTGGAGCACCTTCCCAGCAGAGTAAGACACTAAGTTCAATCCCTAGTACTGTCACCCCTCCTCCCTCCAAAAAACACCAAATTTGCTCCCAGACTTTCTATGTAACCTGGTCATAGTATTACAAATGCCCATGATGCAGCTTTAAAACAAGACAAAAAAATCATCCAGTGTGATTTCTCTGAGAGAGAGGCCTCAATCAAGATCCCCATATACCCCATGTGCCCCTTCAGTGGTGGTGTGATAGTGTCAGAAAGGGAAGGAGGACCTTTCTGTTTTCACCTAACAGGATAACACCAATAGTTTGTTTACAAGTAGGAATCACTTTGGCATTTCTGGTTTTAATGTAACAGCTGGATTAGACACAGTGCAAGGTATATGAAGCAGGAGCTATGGTTCACATGGACTTCAGATCAAGGTGGATGGGGAAAATGTGCCAGAATTCTGACTCCTCAACAGTCAGTGCCTGATTGATTATCATATCTGCCTATTATCCTGAGACTGAGCAATTTCAGGAGCAAGTCCCTCCAGAGTTCCCCTACAGCATCAGAATCCTCTAGAAATCTGATAAGGGCCATCTGCCTCGGGTGGTACACCACAGGTCTGGGCATGGCTGGCCCTGTGATTTCCAAATTGGTCCCCAGCTGATATGAGCCTACAGACGCATGTGTGAGCCTTGGCCCTGGTCATGTCAGCTTCTGGTGAGGCTGCTGGGGTGCTAATCCTTCCCTGAGAATCATTTTTCTCCTAAAAGGAGAAAGAGGAAGAAGAACAGAAGGAGGAAGAAGACCAGGAGGAGGAAGAAGAGGAGAAGGAGAAGAGGAATAATATATGCAGTCCAAACTTTTAAACACTGTTCAAGTCAGGAAAGCTAGAAGTCAGATTCCTTCCTGTGAGTTCACTCACCCCTTTGTCTGGCACACCGTAACAATTATACCCACCTGAATGGTTAGCAGAACACGCTTGCAAGCAGAGTGCAGAGGGACTTCTTTCAAAGGGGTGTGTGGGAAGGGCCAGTTCCAAGACTTCGGCTGAAGGGGGAAATCTGGACAGGAGCTCTTGAGGACATCGCTATAAGAGCAGTCACAATTTTCCAACTCCTTCCCTTCATCTGGCTCTTCCCCAAGTGTGAAACTCAAATAGCCATCTAGTAGTTGCAAATTACTGGGTCTCAGGGGAAGGTGCTCCTCTCCCTCCTCTCTTGTAGAGCCTCTAGCTCCTCCCCAGGTTTCAAGCTTGGCTTCTATACCTTCTGGGTGTGACTCAAAAATACCTGTGGAGCAGGCAGGCCTGAGGCTCTCTTGCCTCACTCCTGCCCACTCAACCATCCAGGCACAGGCCTGGTAAGTGATAAGAGATCCTGAGCCTGGCCAGCACAGTCTTCCCACAGCATAGGGTATAGATTTGTCAAGGCAGCACAAAACCAGGACAGAAAGATGCATGGAGTTTGAACCCCTCTGCCATGTGCTAGCTCTGTGACCTTGGGCAAGTAACAGAAGCTATCTGGAAAGAGCCTCAAACTTCCTATCTGCATGGTGGAAGTTACTGTTTGATCAGACTCCTCACAAAGCTTTTTGGAATGTCCTGAAAGTTACATTATTTATTTATTCATTTTGGTGCCAGTCTGAGGTTTGAACTCAAGGCCTCATGCTCTCTCTTCTTGGCTTTTTCTATTTAATGCTGGTGCTCTACCACATGAGCCTCACTTCCGTTTGTGGCTTTTTTGCTTGTTAATTGGAGATTAAGAGTCTCACAGATTTTTTTTTGCCTGGGCTGAATTCGAATCTCAATTCTCAGATCTAAGGCTAAATGGCTAGGATTATTAGGCATGAACCACCAGTGCTAAGCTAAATTATTTTATTCTTATTTTAATTCAATGCAAATTCTCTAGAAACTTATTGTATCTTCTACACACTGGACATAGCCTGTAACTGGCAATACAAAAATGAAAACATGCTACTGAATTCAAAGAGTGAAATACATTCTACAGAGAAAACAGAAATACAGTGGGGAAAATTACCTAATCCAAGCTGGGAGTCAGTGACTCACGCATGTAATCCTAGCTACTCATGAGGCTGAGATCTGAGGATCACAGTTTGAAGCTAGCCAAGGGAAGGAAAGTCTGTGAGACTCTTACCTCCAATTAAGCACCAAAAAAGCTGGAAGTGGAGCTATGGCTCAGTGGTATAGTGCTAGCTTTGAACAAAAAAAGCTCAGGGACAGCACACAGGCCCTTGAGTTCCAGCCCCAGGACCAGTACTAAAAAATAAAATAAAATAATTACCTAATCCATTATAATCATTAGTATTCATAAACTCATAAACTTTATAGACCACGATAAGGACAGTTTGCCCCATGAAGGTTAGAATGTGTCTGTGACTTTAACTAAGTGTCACTATCTCACTATACTGTGAAATTTATATAATCACTTAATCGTAATAAAAATATTGCTATTAAAAGAAAGTAAAGGCAGTACCCTATTCATTCATTCTTATACTTACAGGTGTCTTATCTCCAGGCAGAAGAACCTGTGAATCACATTGAGAGGATACATAGGAATGCAGCATTGGTCCTCAATCTCTGTGGGGAAAGACTTGCTGTTTTTATTTTTTGATATGCAGTTTGAACTGAGGCCCTGGGTGTTGTCCCTGAGCCTCTTTGTGCTCAAGGCTAGCACTCTACCACTTGAGCCTCAGCACCACTTCCGGTTTTGGAGTAGTTAATTAGAGATAAGAGTCTCATGGGGACTTTTCTGCCCCAGTTGGCTTTGACCTGCAATCCTCAGATCTCAGCCTCCTGAGCAGCTAGGATTACAGGCATGAGCCACTGGCACCCAGCTAAGACCTGCTTTTTTATTTTCAACTCATCTGGAAGATAGTTTTTATAAAACATGATAAAAATGAACTACTAAAACTGAACAAAATGCAAATCCAGCTTTTTTTAATGGATACAACAAATGTAAAATAATGGTCATATTGTTACGAAAATTACTAAAATGTATGCTCTCCATGTCAGTCCTTATCTAGTTGTCCTTTGTTGGAGGAGTGGGGGGTAGGGTTGACAGGGAGAGCAGCAGGCAGGATAGCACCAGCCTGTAGTAAGGGACTGAGAGCTAATAGTGCCCACCAAGCGTTTCAGTGTGCCAGGTGCTGCTTGAAGTGCCTCCCACCAACTGTAGGTGCTGTTATCATCCTCGTATGGGGATGATCAAACAGACAAAGAGCAGCTCACAACATTTCAAGGTTTTATCCTTGAATCTGGGCATCAAGAACTCACTACCAACTCCCAGCGGTCAGCCAGGAAGCAACTCATTAGATCTCTGATTTAGAGGAAACCCCTGATGGCAGGGTGGAGGACAGAGGTCAGGGGGAGGCAGCACTAAAAAAAAATACAGAAAGGGGCTGGTCAGGAAGGGCCAGGGACTGGCTTTGGTCAGAGGTAGGGAATCTGAGGAGCAAGAGGTGAGGAAGATGAAGGTGAGTCACATGACCCAGTGGTTACAGAATCTGGTAACTTGGGAGGGGAGAGGTCTCAAACAAACCACAGAGATGAAGTAAAAACAACAATGTCTCCCTGAATCTGAAGAGCCTGAGTAGGTGATTAGATGCTGTTTTGAGAAAAATCTAGACTGTGATCCTGGAGTGATTTGTTGAGTTCATGCAGCTCCTTTTTGTGTGTGAGTGTGCCAGAACGATGGCTTGAACTCGGGCCCTCTTTCTCTCACTCAGCTTGTTCACTCACAGCTGGCGCTTCGCTACATGTAGCTCCATTATTCAAATTTCAGTTCTACCAAAACACTTTCCTCTTTTTGTCCTTCTCTTTTGAGATAGAAAAAACAACAAACAAATAAATATAAGAGTAAAAACAATATAAAAATCTTTCCTTCGAGAATAACATCCTAGGATACATGGTCCCAACAGCTCACTACAGCTTATTTGTGAGCAAAACATAGATTTCTCTATGAAATTCTTTGTATTTTCACCAAATCCAGACCACGTGTGTGTGTGTGTGTGTGTGTGTGTGTGTGCACGTGCTGTGAACCCAGGGTAGGCAGATGCCAGCCCTAAGCCCAGACTCTTTACAATGGCCCCTGTGATCTGGCCCTGTTACTTCTCCTCACTCATCTCCTATTACAGGGACTTTCTTTGTACATGGGCACAGGTCAAACTCAGGCTGCTTCCTGTGCCCCCAGGTCTCAGTTCAGATGTGACCTTTGCAGAGTGGTCTTTACTGAAGGCCTGGCTAAGGCAGGCCTGCATTCATGAGGCCCATCTCATCACTCACTCCCTGCTTTGCTGCCTTCACAGAATTCATCCCTACCAGAATGGACCTTGTTAATTTGGCTTCTACTCAAGGAACTTTGCCTATCTAGATCAAAGCCCTATCACTAAAGAGTAGACAAACTCATAGATATTTGTTAAATGAAACAAAGGTCACTGGGGGTGCTTATTGAAAACTAAAAACAAGCCAGGTGCCTGTGGCTCACACTAATAATCCTAGCTGCTCAGGATGTTGAGTCTGGAGGATACAGTTCAAAACCAGCCCATTAGAATATAGTCCTTAAGACTCCATAGAGAGCCAGCAAAAAGACTGGCTAGAGATGTGGCTCAAATGATAGAATGCTAGCCTATCAAGCAATCTACTGGCAGTAATAATAATAATAATTATTATTATAACCCACTAAAAAGAGAAAGGGCGTCTGTCTTCAAGGAGACAAACATCTTACAGCAAAGAAAGTTTGGAGAATAAGAGAGAGAGACATCCCAGAGCAATGGCTCCTCTCCTGTGTCTCCTCCTCCCCTTCCAGCAGGCTGCCCTACCCTTAAAACTTACCAAGTAAATAAATGACATGTCCTGTTCCACTTTTTATACAGAATCAACAGGGCAGTGGGACAGGCAACAGGGCACTATGAAGATATAAAGATAGCATGAATGCAAAGTCAGACATACCTGCATTGAAAGCAGGAAGTTGCCACCACTCATTTTCATGCCCTTAAGCACAGTATTTAACCTCTCCAAACCTTTCTCCCTGCAAAAGAGATAGTGCTCCTGATCTCAGGGCTGCTACAAAAAAGAACATGTGTGCAAAGCTCCAAGCACAGGCCAGTACAAAGCTGGAGCTCATGGAATAACCACCATCTTCATTATCATCGACTTTACTGCCCATATACTGTACTGTCTCAATTAGGATTTGGCAGAAGAATCAACTACATGAAAAAAATCAGTTGAGATTAAAGGTGATAGATATTATGTGGCCACCATGATCAAAATGTCAATTATAATTACAACAGTTAACATCTAAGCACTATTATTAATATACTGAGGGCTTTATCAGTAGCTCCTTTACTCTTAAGGCAAAGACAGTATTCATCAATTCTAAGAAGATTCTTTTGCTCACATTCTTGATACTGGAATGACTCTTCAATAAAGGCAGTGTGCCCTTCTTCCAAAAGATGTCCAAGTTCCAATCCAGGGGCCTCTGAATATGTTATGTTATAGGGCAAAAGGAAACTTTGCATATGTAATTTATGTTACAGACATGTGATCATGATGACCACAGAAAGCCTTCTTACAGGTAATGTTTGTGATTGGCAGGTGATGAATAGCATTTTTTTTCTTTAGTGGCACAAGAGGAAAATGGCATGCTTATAATTGATGGAATCTTAAGAGTTGTTGAAATACATGCTAGTACCTCATTTTCCAAATGGACAGCAGACTCTGTGGTCAGTGGTTATTGCAGCTGATTCTGACAACAACTGGAGCTCTAAACCACTGCCTATGATGCTAGAGAGCTCCCAAAAGTTAGTGGGTCCTACTCAAAGCCTAGGAACAGCCAGTATTATCTCCCCAGACAAGTATCTGACATGAGACTGCTAACTCACTGACCACAAAGCCCCAGCTGAGTTCAGAAGGTGTTGACCCTCAGCAGCATTTATTCATCCACTCTAGATTGGGCATCCAAAGGTACCAGGTATCTTTCTGGGTACTGGAGATAGAATACCTGACTGAGATCATGTCTTTGTAGAGATGACTCTAGTCTGGAGGAAATCAACACAATAATGAGAAACCTAGATAAAGGCAACAAGAGAAAGCATTCAGAGAGCATTACATAAAACTTGACAAAAAGTGAGGGACTGAGAAGACACAGAGTCCCCATCCTGGAAGCAAGATGCTCTGTCTGAGATTCTTCATGAAGTTCTGGTATGGGGACTCAGAGAGAGTTTATTGTTACGGGTTTGTTTCTGAGGGAGAGTTTCAATATATAGCACAGGCTGGCCTGAAATTAAATAGGCGTTCAAGCTGGCCTTGAACTCATAATCTACCTGACTCAGCTTCCCAAGTGCTAGGAGTATAGGTATGTACCACCACACCTAGATATCTTACTGATTTTTTTTTCTGATGGAGGTATAGAACAACTTCATATAGGACTACCTCTTATGAATTCCTATAAACTAACAGGCACAGCTATCTTTTTACCAAATCATAATCTCTCTTCTTTTCAGAGAATTTACTCTTAAATTTTAGATGAAAATTAATCTTAGCCAAAAACAACATTCCAAGAGCTGCCAAGAACATCTCCAAAAGCAAAGTGCAACTCCAGTCTTCTTGGAATTCTGAGATCTGGCCCATCCTCTTATGCTGAAGTTTAACTTTTGTCATCTTACACCTAGAAGAAAGTAGACAGCTCTCTGATGGTGAGCTAAAGGGAGAACAGGGAGTAAAGGAAAGGAAGTTCCACATACATGAACTTTTTGGAGAATTCTAGACTTCTTAAAAGATTTAGTGGGAAATGCTACTGGAATTTACATATTCTTAATTATTCTCTCTCCCTTGTTTTTGTTTGAGGGGGAGAAATTCTAGACTAGAAGATCATTTTCATCATGGTTTTGGAGAAGCCCCAGGTTAATAATACCATTAGCTGAAAACTATTTATAATTCAGACATTAGCAACTGGCATAAAACCCTACTTTCCACTTCTCTTTGATTTGGCAACCTATTCTACACTTAGGCCCAAAAAGAGCCATCACATTCTTAAGTCTGTATTTAAGAGATTCTAACAGAGATGCACCCAATAGGAAAGGTCAAGAAAGATCCTCAGGAAGATCTACTGACCTGGATGACGTGCAAGACAAGACATGCAAATGGCCGGAACCTACATTCCTCTAGTAATGAGAAAATTTTTCTTCTAAATTGCCGTTTCTTACCAATCAGACTGGCAAAACCAAAACAAACTGACACTTTTGTTGGTAGTCATAGGAAGGAGTCAGCCAATACCCAGCCATAAGGAGCACAGATTTAGCCCCTCCTGAGGAGGATACAGAGACCAGTGACTCAGCAGCCTCACTTCTGTGAATCAGTCCTGAGGCACATCTGTACACCAGCAGAATGACTTAATTAACCTGTATTCCTTACCACAAAAGCTGGATACACCCCAGAGGAATGGTCCATGGTATACACACTTATTCGAAAACTATTATGTTGTGTTAAAAGAAAGAAATTGTTCTATATATGCTTACAAATCTCCAGGCTATACTAATTTTAACAAGCAAGGTCAGGTTTCGTGAAGAAATGGAGAATAACATATCATACTTATTCTTTTCTTATTGGTCGTTCTGAGGTTTGAACTCAGGATCCTCCCACTTGTTCATAGCTGGTACTCTACCACCTGAGCCACATTTCTAGCCTGGCTTTTTGCTGGTTATTATGGAGACAAGGTTGAGTATGTTGGCTTCAAAACATGATCCTCCAGGTCTCGGCCAGCCGAGTAGCTAGGGGTAAGCCATGTGTGCCTGGTTCCATATCCTTTCTGCTTGCATTTACAAGTTAGTACTTGTAGGCAGTGTGAAAAAGATTTGGATGGGGATAAAGTAGGTTTCCTTTTTTTTTCTTTTTGTTAGTCATGAGGCTTGAACTGATGCCTACATGCTGTCCATAAGCTCTTTTTGCTCAAGGCCTGTGTACTACCACTTTGAGCCATGTTTCCACTTCCAGTTTTCTGGTGGTTAATTGGAGATAAAAGTCTCAAGGACTTTCCTGCCCCAGCTGGCTTTGAACCATGATCCTCAGATCTCAGCCTCCAGAGTTGCTAGGATTAAAGGCATATACCACCAAAACCAGGCTTCTTTTTGTTCTTGTTAATGTTTTCCTTTTAATGTGGGAGAGTGGGGGATCAGAATAATCTATCACCTAGGGTTTTTTGGGGTGAGAGGCTTAAATGTAGAGTTATATTGGCTATTGTTTTTTGGGGGGGGGTCCGGTCATGGGGCCTGAACTCTGGGACTGGGCGCTGTCCCTCAGCTCTTCAGCTCAAGGCTAGCGCTCGACCACTTGAGCCACAGCGCCACTTCTGGCTTTTTTTCTTTTTGCTTATGTGGTGCTGGGGAATCGAACCCAGGGCCTCATGCATGCAAGGCAAGCACTCTATCACTGAGCCAACTTCCCAGCCCTGGCTATTTTTTTTTTTTTCTAGGAATAGAGGAAATGAAGCTAAGGAGAGGTTCAGCTCAGAAGAAGGAGTCTGGGAGACTTAGGCTTACACAGGAAGTTCTCACATGGAGTATGCAAGTCAGTCCAGAGTTCAAGAGGTGAGCAGAGTGAGTGTGCACAGGTGACTTCTGCCCTGTTGAGTGTGGGTGGCCTGGAGCCCTTGATATTTATTAAGCCAGAAGGAAGTTGGAGAATTTCAGGTGAACAGGAGGCCAAGGTAAAACACTAGGACAGCACCAGACAGTATGCCAAGAACATTTATTTGCTCCCTGGATTTCAACATAGTGGCTGAAGTATGCTACTCATCAACTATGTATGCTAAGCAAATGAAAAGAAACATGTGTTGAACATCTAATTTTCAGAGATGTTCCTGAAAAGTTGAAATGTCTAGAATTTTATAAAATAAAAACATCTGAAAATGCAACAGGTAAGTTTGCTATTTAAAGAAACCTCATCGGAAATTCATTGGTAATTGTCATCTTACTTATTTCTGCTTTGGGATTTGACATTTAAGACTACATTTAACCAGATTAAATGAGAAAGGCTTCGTGGTTTGGGGCCTTTTGACTTTTTTCCATAAAACAGCAGGATGCCAAGTACAGACCAGCACCTTTATCCTTAGCACCCAGGCCTCAGCAGTTAGACTTACCAGACAGAATTCATCCACCTGCCTATGAATTCCCAGGAGCAGAGCCAAGAGAGGAACCCAATTCTCACAGCAGGTTTGCTGCAGGCCCAGATTTAAAGAGAAAGCGCTGTGTGAGAAGAACCAGTCGGCATTAGGGGGATACAGAAAAACTCTTGAGTTTCTGGTAGCTGTAGCAACAAGGCTCTCCACTTCTTCCCTAAACAAGAGTCTTTTTCTGAAAGATTCCATTCCAAAGGCTCCTGCAGCCACGGTTGCTTGCATACTGCCCCAAGAAGAGGGCCCAGAGCTGGCCAGTACATACACAACTCTTTATCCACACACCCAGCGGTTACTCCTACTCCATCCCCTGTCACACACTACTTGATGTTGTGAGCACCTCAGCATGTATCAGGCAGTAGCAAACCAGCTGCTGTTCAGTTCACTATGAACAGTATCAGCTATGCCCCAAGTGCTGGCTCTCTCTGCCCTTAGGAGTGATAGACTGGAGGAAGAAGGCCATTGGAGGGCCTAGGTACCACTGAATGTGTGTTTCCTAACAAATACAGTGTTACTTTTGGTTTTTATTAAAAAAGAACAATGGCCCATGTGCATATCACAAAGAACGTGCTTTTATTTAACTGATATTTTAGTTCCTACTATATGCCACACTGAGGCTCATAGCATTAATGGAGCTACTGGGACTAAAAGGGCTTCGAATGGCTGCTAGATTCCGTGCCTTTGACTCTGTGTGTGTGTGTGTGTGTGTGTGTGCGCGCGCGTGTGTGTGTGTGTGTGTGTGTGTGTGTGTCTGTGTGTGTGTGTGTCTGTGTATTGGGGGAAGGAGAAGTTTGCAAAAACCAAAAACTAAATAGACCTAGCTTTGTAGGCTTGATAGCATCACCAAGAAGTGCCTTATATCCTGGTAAGATAAAATTTACCAGGATACTATGTGGTTATGGGCAGATTTGCCTGTCTCCACTCCCCAACCCCACTCCAATCTGCTTCCCTAACTCGAGTTTGCCCAGTGAATAAAGTACAGAATGATTTAAGGCAGTTTTGCCAAAAAGTCATAATCCAGTCCTTTTACTTTTTGGCTGAATATCCGACCTTCCAACGACAACTTGTCTGAACACCCAATCGTGACCACATACATCCGCATGAAGTACCATGGTCTGGTAAACAAACTCTGGTCTAATAATTCAAAAGGTTTCACTATTCTAGGCGAAACCTAGCTCAGAAACGTAGTTTATGGGTTTTGAAACCCTTACTTCTAATTTACCTGTGATTCTACTTTAATAAACCTTTCTGTGTTGGTTGTATCTACATAAGGTCTTCAGTAAATTTCAATAAACTCCTTTCAACTTTTGGATTTTGAGTCAACTTTCCATCTTCAAATTTAGCTCATGTCAGGAGAGGTCTCATGCTTCTTCCCTGTAATAATTTCTCTCCACAAAGGCAAAAATCTGAGGTCATCGTAAGTTTGAGATGTGAGTGTAAACATCCTAGTGGAGGCTGAGGGCTTAGTGCACAGTGGTCAAGAACATCGTGGCTGGCAGCACCTACAGCTGAAGAAAAGCCTAATTATTTTGCCTCAGCAAAGTGAAGACCCCCACCCCCACAGGCTTGTGGGGGAATACATGCAGCCATGCTGAATGAAGGCAATTCTCTGCGTAGAACACAAAGGCAGTGGTGGTAACTGATGCAGACTACACTCCACTGAGCCTGCCTAGCAGTGCCTAAGTCCTAATCCAGGACTTAAACTTCCCTCTACCTCAAATCAATGGAGATCCCATGTCAATGACATGCCCTTGCCTAAAAGGGGAATGGGAGTCTTATTTTGCAAGGAAGACCCCTTCCCCTACACAATCACTTGCAATCAGTGAATGAAAATTGCAGAAAATTCTAGCAACTGATTTACTAGAGAGAACCAGAACATTTCCTTTCACAACTAATCTTCCAGCAGAGCTACAAGTATCAAGTCTAAATAGTTTGCAACACTCTGATTTTATTATATAGTAATCTTCTGAAATGCAAACCCATTAAAAGAAGACAAAAACCCTCCTTGTCCCAGGATGGCAACCAGACATTCACAGCTAAGCACTTTTATGAGGCCCAATAAAACCTGCCATGATAAACCAAACATCAAGTGACATAAGGAATGATTTTCAAAAGAGACTAGGAAGTTAATGGAATAATCCAGTTAGAAGTTACCTCCAGTCAAATCACCTCCATACTCTACTCTGAATCCAAGCTACCTGCTCACTCCTGTCAGGAGAGAGAAGAGGTGGGAGCTCAGGATCTGTTGGCATGAGCTGACTTGGCAGCCAGTCCTCTCATCTACACTGTCAAGGTGTCCAAGGAGGGGAGAAGCACTTCACAGGTCTTTGAACTGGCCTTTGCACTCACTTCAGGCCTGCTGAGTAACACAATCATTTTGGTGGCACTGACCACAAGGATACAAGAGGGATGAGCCCATGAAGAGACACCCATAATTCACCTCTGTTGACTCATCTTGTAGAAAGAATCCTCTGCTCACTTTTCTCTTGATTTGACTGACAGCTTTCTAATGAAGCTGCCTCCGTAAAGGCCTCTGTGTCCTCCCCTGTAGCATGATGCATCTCCAATGTGAGACTTGGTAGAGTCAACACCCAATGCAAGAGATGTGCAAGCAGCCCAACTCCGAGGCTGATCCTGTTCTTTCCTTGAACTGAATTCAGACCATTAGCAAACTTCAGCCTTCTCATCTGGCCTCTAATAGAGACTCTGCAAGACTATAAAGGGCTTAGAAGGGCCTAGAAAGGGCCTGGAGCATAATACATCTCATTAAGTAGGGTAATGTAAGTGTGCTATAGTCACTTTTTATTCATAAAACTTTCCTGCTAACCCAAAATGTTATCCAGGTCTTCTTGTTACTGCTGTCCAGGTATCTGACAGACTGAATGAAGGTGGTATAACAAATACAGATCATCAATGAAGATCTGGACCTAGGAAGTGACAAGTTTGGTGGACTTGGTCTATATGCTGGTCCTTATTACCTATTAGTGGATTTTGCAAATCTTATGAAGATAAAATACCCAGGCTTCTGAAACAGCCTCCCTTTTACTGTAAAGGTTTAGGCCAAGAAAGTTAGTGGGTTTTTTCCCAAGACAATGACAAAACTCCTAGTTTTTGTAGTCACAAACCAGTAACTATGACACAAATGAATTACTTATTATAAATACATGCTCACTGGTGTGAAATAGGAGAAAGCGGGGGAGAGGCAATATAATTTTATAAAAAATGCATAGTTTAAAATTTTAAACTAGTAGTTATTTTATAAGGCACTATAACTTATATATGGCCTTCCCTGTACTTATAACACACTTCATGTATTAGTGATTTTTTAAAGTTTCTATTAAGAAAGGAAAATGGACTAGAGATTTAGAAGAACTAGTTTATTCAGTTAATATCATAATCCATTTCACTTAAAAGACAAGACTGATGCGTAATTAATGTATATTTTCTTAGTTTGTAGTTACTATTTGGCAGAACTTTTTTTTTTTTTTTTGTATAGGCTCTGAGGCTTGAACTCAGGGCCAGGGCACTGTCTTTGATCTTTTGTGCTCAAGGCTAAAGCTCTACCTAAAGCTTAAGGCTAAAGCCACAGCTCTAGTCTGGCTTTTTAAAAAAATTTTGGTAGTTAATTGAATAAGGGTCTCATCGACTTTCTTGCCCAGGCTGGCTTTGAATGGTGATCCTCATATCTCAGCCTCCTGAGTAACAAAGATTACAGGTATGAGCCACAGACACTCAGCTATTTGGCAGAACTTTTAAATTACTGAGACTTTTTAGATTTGGGGAAAATAATTTTGTTGAACTGTTTTCCTGTGGTTAAAATAATATATACTCATTATATAACATTTGGAACAATAATTTACTATTTACTGAAATGGATGCTCTACATAGATTAATTCATTCATTCCTCACACACTTCATTGAAGCATAAAGAGATTAAGTAGTTTATCCAGTCTACACATTCAGAAGTCTCAACTATGAATCCATCATTATGCTACAATGTTTTAGGAGTAAAAGAAATCAATAATTTATTCCATCAAGTTCTCCACTGTGTCAGAGTATCGTGTCACAGGCCAGAAACAATTCATAACACTGAACTCTTTGTAATATTTAAAATTATTATGAACCACAATTTCTGAGTCCCCATGGAAGAATCCACAGATTAGTATGAGCTAAGATTTGATTTTTAGAGTTCTAGGCACCTCATATGCAATAAGGGAAAATATACAGAAGCTTAAGGGAGATTGTTTTAAAGATGGAAGCTTTCTTTTTTTTTCAGTTTTGCACATTTTTAGCAAAGGATTCATTGACATAATGAGTTGAACTCCACCTCTTCCCTCCCCCACTGAATGAACATCCATTCTCACATAAGTTTAAAAATAAAACAAGCACCCACAATCAGTCCTAGCACTTTTTAGGGCTTATCTGTTGGCCTTGGACATCAGTACAAGAAAAGCAAATAACGATACTCTTGGGGCACATTTTTTTCACACTTTAATTAAAAATCATCTGGATTCTTCTGTTCCTGGTTTAATTTCCTCTAGCATACACAATTATTTGAAATAAAATTAAATTATTTTAAAAATTAAAAGATAATTTATGCAATGTTTCTGATTGGCCTTAAAATGACTATGTTGTTACCATCATTCCTGCTGTGCATGAAACACAATGTACCCACTTATACATAATAAATATTCACAAACAAAAAAGTTGAGGTACCTTTTTTGTTCTTTATCCAGCATCTCCAGAAATTCAAACTGCTATCTTATAATTTATCCAAAAGCTGCTGACTAAGCAAGCTACATAAATAAAATAATAATTTAGACAGTTACTGTAGGGTAGTTTCAGTGTAAGCATTCCCATAGGTTTTTTCATATCCTTACATTAAAACTAGAGACCACTATGATAAAGATTAAATAACTAGTTTTTGCATCATGTGTGTCTCACACCAAATTCTACCCCAAACCACGTTAACCTGCTTCTCTCTCCAGTTAAGGCTCAGGAATATTTACTTCCAGAATTTAGC